GGTGTTGGGTGTTGGTGTGCAGGGTCGATGACGGGGGTGCGGTGCTGCGGCGTAGGTCGAGGCACACCTGCAAAAAGCCAACTGATGCTGAGGCGTCACCCATCAGCGTGCACAAGCAGGCGCAACACACACACACACACACACACACACACACACACACACACACAAACACCTCTCCCTTTCAGAGACACTCGCACACACACACACACACACACACACGCTAAAAGACATTGTGTGTACAAGAGTGCGTGACACACACACACACACACGCTCTCACAGTCCGCTGACATGACAGCACCCCGCCGCCCTGCGCTGCCCACCTTCTTCCTCTCAAACATGTTGTACTGCGGTTGCTCGCAGCATGGCCCGATCAAGTCCAGCCGGTCGGCCACCGCCCACGCCTGCTGCAGCTGCTCCTCGCTCCACTCCGATGTGCCCCAGTAGAGAGCCCAGCCCTGGGATGCAAAGGCGGTGCAGCATTACGCGTGTGTGTGCGTGGGCGTGTAAGAGTGCATGGGTAAACGAGTGAGTGGATGTGCGCAAGTGTGTGTGTGTGTGTGTGTTTGTGTGTGCGTGCGCACATGTGTCTGATTGCGTGCGCGCATGCACGTATGTGCACTGATGGGTGTGTGCTCTTGCACATGTCCGCGGTGGTCAGGAGGCTGCAGGTCCAGCCACAATTGCCTACGCAGAGCCCAAACAGACGTGTCAACACGGCAACCGTTCACACGGACGTGCCACCGCACGCCGGCCGACCCCCAGACCTTGTCGATGCAGTGATTGAAGGCGCGCACTGTCTCCTCAATGGGCGTGTTGGGGTCAGGGCGGTGCGCGAACAGCACATCAACGTAGTCCACTCCCATGCGCTTCAGGGACGCCTGCGGGGCCAGGCCAGGGCGGGCTGGGGCGTCGGTGCTGAGGGGGTGTGGATCCATCACTCCAGGCAGCCCAGGTGTTGACCAACGGAGGAGTGCCAGGAGTGCAAAACACGAGCTAGGGATGCAAAACACGAGCCAGTCCAGGGGACGACACAGGTACGGGCGGCCGGACTAGTTCTCCCTGGGGATCAGGCCCTGGCCCCGGCCCTGAGCGCGGCCGCGGCCGAGGCCCTTCGGCCCGCATCACCTGCGTGCCCTCTACCACATGCTTCCTGGATAGGCCCACGTCATTGGGCCCCTCCCCGCCCCAAAATATCTTGCTGCAACCCAGGGCGGAGCAGGGGGAGGATGAGGAATGTGGGGTGGGGTGGGGGTGTGCGGCAAAGGCCCCTAATTGAGCCGTAGCTAATGTGTATGATAGAAATTGGGAGAGGCGAGGCCAAGGGGCCGGGCCGGCTCGCGCCGGCAGCGGGCTACGGCAGGAGCTGGCGCCTCGACGCGCGAGCGGGAGCGGGCGGGGGCCCGCCGCGGCACCCTCGCGCCCGCGCTTGCGGGCTGGGGATGTGTGCGCCGCGGCGCAGCGGGCCGCGTGGGCTGCAACAAGGTGAGGACTAGGTAGAACACAGAGTGTACGGGGTTTTTAGAGCGCAAAGTGGCTCACGTCGACAGGACCACGTCTGAGCGCTTCCAGCCCAGCTCCTGCGGCATGGTGCCCAGGTGCGCGGCGACGCGGCCGGGATTGCTTGTTCGTGAGCGCGCCAGCTGCCGGCAGCAGCATGCCGCCAGGCTTCTCGACTGCATGCGGGCGCCCGGCGCACCGACCCTCCGGCCCTTTGCCACGCGCCCAGCACGACGCAACACCGTGGCGGGCGGCCGTGCTTCCCCCTTTGCGCGCGCCCTGCCTCTGTTACGAGCAGCGGCCTTCGGGGCTGGAGCTGCGCGCGCGGCTGGGCGACGGCTGCGCGCGCACTTTGATGGCCTTGCCAATGAGCTCCTCGGCGGCGCCTTTGGCGTACACCTCTGCGCATCAGAGTGGGGTGTGGCAACGCGCAGCTTCGCGGCGGCGCGGGCGGGCCCGCGGGCTGGTCGGCGGGGGTGCGGCGGGGGCGCGGTGCGCGGGAGCGGCGGCGGGTCGGGGGCACGTCGGGCGCCCGTGGCTCAGATGCTTCGCACCTGCATTGTCAAAAAAGTTGCACCCCGCCTCGCGGCACGCCGCCAGGAGCTCTGCTGCCTTTTCACGTGGGTTGTGGGTATGAGGGGCCACGGGGTGGGGGGGGGAGCATTGAGCGGCAGCGGCGGGGCCCAAGGCAGGACTGGCGCGACGGGCCACGGTGTGCGCCTGGCGTTCGCGCTGCGCTCCCGTGCTGGCGGCAGCCAGCCCACAGCCCTTACAAAAATGTGGTAGCAGCTATCTGAAATCACCTGCTTCACAGCTTGAACCTGCAGTTGAGGATTCACGAAGGGAGTGCGCACAGAAGCATGACTCAGCTTCTTAGTGCTGAGGGGCAGTTTTGGCTTTGCAAAGCGCATGCGCGGGCGTCTCTGCCGGAAGGGTGCCAGCGCGACGCACCTGATACGACATTGTGACCCAGGCGCCATACGACAGCGCGCTGACCTGCCCATCAGTGGGGGGCGGGTGGGACCGTGGTCAGCGTTGCAGCCTGCTGCTGCGTCAGAGCAGCAGGGTCGCCGGCCACACGCGCAGGTTGTGCGCACCTTCAGACCAGTGCGTCCCAGGTTGCGGTACTCCATCGCGATCGTTATTACAGGCCTGCACGGCAGCCTATCGTCGGAGCACTTGAAGGCAGATCGAGTTACCCGGATGAACTAAGAGTGCGTTACAATTCTTGCGGGTCAAAGCTTACACATGCAAAGATTATGCACTGGGGGTTAGAGATCTTGTGGGGGGTTGATCTGAGTGCTGACGCTTGCGCTGTGTATCAACAGGCAGTGAGCGATGTACATCCTCCAACGACTCCAAAATATTTGAGGTATGCTTTTACTCCAAGATAGTATGAGTGACATTCACGCCGTGCATGCAGCAGGCGGGTGTTGCCGAATGATGTCACAATGACATGTGTCATCAACCAGGTTGTGCCAGACGGTTCTGCAAAGCGCAACATATTTGCCTGTTACCCTATCAGCTCAGTGGACCTGGTGCGAAAAGTCTTGTATGGAGTAAGGCCTTGTGGTTGCAACCAGTTGATCCTCAACCCCCTTGGACCAAACCACATGGTGACGAGCCCAGCAGCAGGACTTTATGTAGAAATCCAAATCCAGAAGTTTACAACACATAGTTGCGTCTTGCGACTTGAAGCAGGCAGTCCCAGGTCCTAGACGTGTGGAAGGGCCCAGTTTGAACCCCAATTGAGCAGCACAGGGCCTTTCAAATGTGCATGATTTTGTTTCGGCCGCTTTCAAGTGCTGCCCCTCACAGGGAAACCAAGCTCAATATTGAAGGGCGCGCGCGAGGCCCGCGCGCAAGTTTGTGAAAAGGCGATACAAGCAGCGGGCGGTAGCATGCATGTATAAAGGGGCCGACTGGATGGCCGAACCGGGCGCCAGCGTTAAGGGGCTGGCGCCGCGAAACCCAGCGGGGATGCTTGCGGCGAGAGCGGGTCCTGGGGCAGCGCCCTCGCGGCAGGCGGCCATATAGCTCAGTGATCAGGGTTGCAATTGGGCTGCAATCCTGGGGTTGCGGTCCATGACGTAAACGGGACTGAAGGCACGTTCATCTGTGCGTTGGGGGACGGGCGCCAAAGGTCGGGATACCCGGAAGCCGCTTCGACCAGGAGAGCCCCCGGCGTATATATTGTTTCGTGTGGCAGGTGCGCGTGTTACGCATGACGCGCAGTGGGGCGAGCGCGTACGTTATAGGGATGGGAGGTAGCACGCCGCAACCTGGCGCGGGGCACACCTGTGCAGGCCGGCGGGAGCGGGGATGGCTGGCGGCGCCGAAAAGTGCGACGCCGCGGCCCGGGGCATGCCAATGCAAGAAATAGTGTGGCTGGCATGTCGCCGGCGGCAACAGGGCGGCGGCGATTGAAGCGCCGCACTAGTCGTGTGAGGCCCTAAGTTGCTGAGAAGGCCCCAATTTTCAAATCGCTTGAATTGCACAAAAGGGTTTGCCGCATTGATTGCGCGGCACGTGCGCAGGCAAGGAGTAGGATTCAACAATCAGATCAGTGCTTGCCACCAGCCAGCGCGCCCCTCGTGCCCGTCGTGTCGGAGCCCGTCGCGGCCGGCGCCGCATGCGCGCCGCCAGGACGCTCCTGCCCCCCTGAGGCCTGCTGCCGGCGCTCCAACAGGACGTCCAGAAGCGCGGTCTGGCTCACGGCGTACGGCCTGCACGTTGCCAGGGTGTTTTTTTGGGGTGAGTCACACGGACGGCAGCAGCGAGAAGAGGGCAGACCACAACGCCCAGGAAGCTTCCGACAAGCTGCAGATGGTCCGCACTCCAGCACGCCGCTGTGCGTGCCGTACTTTGACGGGGCGAAGCCCAGGCCAGTTTCGGACTCGTCCGCCCCCGCGCCGGCGAGTCCCACGGCCGCCCCAGCAGACGCTCCACACTCCCGGAGGGGCGGCGCTCACCAGCTGCCAACCGCAAACGCCGCCAGCTGCTGGGCCGTGAAGACGGAGCCGTACAGCGCCAGCAGGCACGCGGCGTTGCCCGCGGCGTAGCAGCGCTGCACGCGCCCCACCTCCTCCACCAGCTCCTCCTGCGCCGCCGCGTCGCCCGCGCGCTCGGCGCACAGCCGCAGCAGCGCCTCGCGCTCCTTGGCGGCGCGCGTCGCGCGAGCGCGCGACAGCTCGAGCACAGCCATCAGCCGCTCCTCCTGGCGGCATAGGCGGGGGGCCGTTTCAGGCAGGAAGGGACGCGACAAAAGGGCGGGACGGGCCGCTGACCGCGGTCGCAGACGCCGTAGATGTGCGGCATAATCGCGGATGGGCGGCCAGGCGCTGGGGATGCCTGCAAATGGATTGTATTGGATTGCCCCTAGCCAGCCCCACACCTGATGAGGCTCAAGGACGAGCTGCTCCACCGCGTGGGCCCAGTGCGCCTTGTCGGCCCGCGGCGTCGCGGGCCCCCGGTCGTCGAGCGGCGTGAGCGCGACCGCGCTGATGGGGCTGGGCGCGCCGGCGTGGCCGCAGGCGATGACTGTGGCGGCCGCAAACTCGAGCAGGTCGCGGCGGGCCTCCTCCAGGCGCTGCTGCGCGTATCCTTGGTCTGGTGCGCCGGGGCAGAGGCGCCTGCGGCCGCGGCGTGGGTGCAGGGGGTTGTGTGTGTGGTGTGTGTATGCATGTGAGCGTGTGTGTGTGTGTGGTGTGTGGTGTGTGTGTGTGTGCATGTGAGCGTGTGTGTGTGTGCACGTGTGTGTGTGTGTGTGTGTGTGTGTGTGTGTGTGTGTGTG